TTTTTTTTTTTAAAAAAAAAAAAAAAAGATGACCGGTAAGGGGACCTCAACCCTTGACTTGGTGTTGTCAGCACCACGCTCACTCAGTGAGCAAACCGGACATCCCTATATGGGATCCGAACCTGAGGCCTTGGTGTTATCAGCACCACACTCTCCCAAGTGAGCCACGGGCCGCCCCGATTTCTTTTTTATATTCACAAGGCAACAGCAGTTCAACCGACACTCATTGACATGTACTCAGTGCAAGGTTTACAATGGACATCATTATGAATCCTGCCTTGACGAAGCTTCCAGTCTAGCAGAGCTGTACCAGTTAATTGTAAATTCTGTGCAATCTTATAAAAGCCCTTAGACAGATACAGATTAAGAACAATTGGTACTTATATGAGGACGAAATTATTTTTGGCTCTTTTTTGGAGTGGAGTGGAGAGAAAATGAGAGCAAGGGAAGGCTTTGTGCTTTAGATAACTATAGAACTTATAATGAGATATAAATGATACAAGTATACAAATGTTTTTAAAATATTTCCTGATATGTGACTATCTTTGTTTTTCTCCTGACACAAAATGCCACCTCTTCTACTCACAGGACTATCATACACTGCACGTTCCATATTTGTAGTTTCATCTGCCAAGTCACAAAGACTAAATGAGACAGTGTACAATAAGGTGAAGGAGATGCACTCTGAAGACAATGCGTTTGGAATGAAATCCCAATTCCTCCACTTATTACCTTAGTCAAGTTAGCTTAGTTATTTTTTGCTTGGGATGGAACAATGAATAAAACAGACAAACATCCCTGCTCTCAGAATGTACACTGTAGTGGGGGAAGGCAGACAAATATATTTGAAACATAAAAGATCACCTAAATAATACTAATCAGTGTAACAGATAATCCAGAAATTATTTAATTGCTTATGTTTTATGTAAATCCATTTACATATTGAAATGTTACTACCAAAAGGGAATAAAATGTCACTGAGGATAATTCCAAATCATCACTGCACAAACTGAGGTACCTGAACTTCACCATGCCTCCTCTTTTCAAACGCCAGTCTTTCTTCTTCCACCTTCTGTTCCCACTGCAATTTTTCCAGTTGTTGGATCGTTATAGCTGCTTTCGTTCTTACTTCTTCCTTAAGTTCGTCATAACGATCCAGCTGAGTAAACAGCATTGAAACATTGCTAACTCACTTATAGAAACATGACAGGAAATTCTTTGTATTATACTAAAAGATAATTAATCTTATCAAAAGCTAATTTCATATACATTGGATCATAATTGGCCATCTTACCCAGGACCTAATGTGAACATAAAAGAAAACCCTCTTTATTTAAAACTGCTTCTATAGAGCAAAAAGGTATTCAAAAGAAACCCTATAATAATGTTTCTGTCAGAAAATCTTAAGAGAAAGGGGAATCCAGAGAAAATATTTTTCCTATTTATAGAGTCACTATTATTTTGGTATATATAGTATGATATAGGATAATCATAAAATTACTGAAAGAGATAAATGTTAAAAATTTAGCTGAGAAAATATTTGTAACTCTCAATTACGATATTTGGATATTTACTATTGATTTATTATAATTAAATACCATATAGTAAGTTGGATATTAATTTATCACTGAACAATTTAAATCACCTTAAGTAATCAATTTCCTTCTTGTCAATTAAATGATGTTTCTTCAAAGCCACATATATCTGACCTTTAAATTTTTATAATATCACGAGAGAATAAAATAATTACCTTAAAAAACATAATTACCTAACTTTTATATAAGAAAATGACATTATGTAACATTGTTGAAATATTTTCTAGGATTTTAACTTATAAATGTTATAATGCCATCTAATCTTATTGAAAATACTTTAGTCTGAAGAATAAATTCAGATTCTGTGTATAGGAAAAAAAACCTAAATCACCATAATTTACATTCTGAGGAAAATCTCTTAAAATAGCAGAAAGAGAGAAAATCGTTTACATTTTTTCTAATTAAAAGGAGAAGTTGAAACAATAGGTACAAAAGATTTCCCATATATTGACTTTTTCACCTTACCGTCTTCCAGTTCTAAGTCTCGTAATTTACTTACCATTTCT